GCAGTTGGGTGCGCGGCTACCTCGCCTTGGGGGTGGCGTGAGTAGGAAAAGGGGGACTGACCCATCCCGCGGCGACCAAACTCGTGGGATGTCCTGTCCCAGGACACGGCCTCCGGGAATGTCGTGGGGAACCGGCCGCAGGCCACCGCGAGAAGAGCAAACACGGTTGCTGGATTCCCTTTCCTCAATATTTGGCTTAATATGCCAAAATAATAATCCATATATAATGCAAAGTATATGCATATTTCCTGATATATGTAAAAAATATTTTTATATATCTATATAAAATTATATAAAATATTACATGATATTATCTCTGATAAAAATTATATAGACTAATGCTATGACCCTGTGTCGCATACTGACGCAGGTATAAGCCGGCAATATTATAGTTTTGGTTCACAAGTATAATATACACAAAAAATATATATTCAATATCTATTCTATATACTTCAATATATGTTCGACATATATTATCATTCAAGTATATATTGAATAGCGAGACCTATCTCAAAAAATATATATAGTAGTTTGAAAGTAATATAGTAGTTATATACTATATATGTTAATATATATTATATTGGATATATATGTTAGAATGTAATGATTGAATATAATTCCAGGCCACGTGGAATAAAGCCAAATACAGCACTGGATATTTCCTTCCCATTAATCTGCTTTATTCTGCAAACATAGTCCCATATATATGTCAATCATATATGTATTTTTTATATATATAAAAATATATTTTTAATCAAAAAATATATAGAGAGCGAGTTATATACTATTCAATGTCTATTCAATATATTCCAATGTCCTATTCATATATTCATATATATTGAATTATATATGACTTCAATGGTAATCAATATATATTGAATAGCCGAGACTCTGTCTCCAAAGAAATAATATATATTTGAATGTGTATATACGTTAATATATAATTGAATATAACCATATTCCAATATATACAGTCCAAAATATTCAATATATATTCATATATATAATATATAATATATATTCAAATATATATTCAATATAATCATAATGTATTCAATATATATTCAATATATTCAATATTCAAAATCAAACACATCAATTTATCAAAAACAGAGTCTCATATTCAATAATATACTGAATATATTGAATAGTGGGACTTTGATCTGAAAAAATACATATTTATTTGAAGTGATGTATAATATTGTAGTGTATACATATATGTGGGAATATATATATTGAGATATATACATCCATATATTCACATATATATTCAATATACATATAATATGTAATATATACACATTCCAAATATATATTATTATATATTTTTTTTTTGACGAACAGCAGTCTTCGCATTTGTCGCCCAGGCTAGGAACGAGTGCCACCCAGTGCGTCAGCCTCGCTCACAGCAAACTCCAATTCCTGGCCTCGGGCAGCGATCCTCCTGCCTCCGGCCTCCCTCCCCGAGTAGCTGGAGACTACAGGCGGCCACCACGCCAAGGCTAATTTCTTTTCTATATATATTAGTTGGCCAAATATTTTTCGTATTTTTATAGTAGAGATGGGGTCTCATCTTGCACAGGCGGCCCTCCAACCTCCTGACCTCAACTGATCCTACGCGTCCAGTCCCTCTCCTCCCGAGTAAGCTGGGACTACAGGCGTGGGTGCCACCACGCCTGGCTATTTTTTCATATATATGTTAGTTGGCCAATTAATTTTTTTTTTTCTTTCCTTTTGAGACCCGAGTCTCGCTTTTGACCTGCCCAGACTCGAAAGTGAGTGCCGTGGCGTCCAGCCCTCACTCAAACAGCTCCAAGCACCTGGGCCCTCGGAGCGATCCTCCTGCCTCAGCCTCGCCTTCCCCGAGTAGTGGGACTACACGGCATCGCGCCACCACGCCCGGCTTCGTTTTTTCCTATGTTATTTTTTAGTTGTCCCAGCTCATTCTTTCTATTTATACTAGAGAAAGGGTCTTCGCTCCCTTGCTCAGGCTGGCCTCGAACTACTCATCTTGCACAATCCTCCTGCCCTGCAGCCTCCCTCCCGAGTAGCTGGGACTACAGGCGTGCGCCACACCACGCCGGCTCGGTTTTTTTTCTAATATATATAGTTAGTTGGCCAATTAATTTGCTTTCTATTTTTAGTAAGAGAGGGGTCTCGCTCTTGCGTCCAGGCCTGGCCGTCCCAACTCCCTGACCTAGAGCCGATCCCTTCTCTGCAGGCTCCCAGAGTGCCTGGGATCCACAGGGTGAGCCACCACGCCCGGCCTATATAGTTTTTTTTTTATTTGTAAAGTTTATTTACTTACTTTTAAACAAAAACATTTTTTTTTAATGTTTCAACGCATATAAGTCCTCTACAAGGCTATTTTTTTAAAATATTTGCTTTATTTGCAAATATAGTGGATATATATCTTTGATCATAACCATTAATCACTATAGTTCCGAATACGTGATTCTGGTAATGTGTGTATATATAATATCTTGTTTCATATTTAAAAAATATATATATATGACTATATTTGCAAATAAAGCAAATATTGAAAAAATAAATCCAGTGCTGTATTTGCTTTATTGCAGTGGCCTAGAATATTCAGTGTATATTCAATATATATTTTTCAGACAGTCTCGCTATTCAATATATATTGAATATAGTGAATATATTGAATGTATATATTCAATATATTTAATATGTGTTTAATATATTGATTATATATATTCAATATGTATTGAATATAGTGAGTATATTGAATATATATATTCAATATATTGAATATATGTGGAATATATTGAA